GCTCACCTCTTCCTGAATATACTGTACTAGGAAGAGAGATGATCTTAAATTATCCATTGGAATATTAAAGAAACCTTGAATTTCTTTCTGGTATAAATCCATAGTAATGAGGCGGGTTACACCAGCTTTGTACATGTTGGAAGCCAATAATTTAGAGATGATGGAGCCTTTTCCTCATCTTCTACTGTTTGAGACAGTCTGGATGACTCAAAGATGACATCTTTCGCCCTCACAACTCCTGAATCTGTACTCTTTGTTTCTTGGCCAGTTTCCTGGTAAACCTGCACTTTGCCTATCACCAACCCCAGCCGCTCAGAAATTTTCTTTGAAAGCTCCATACAGGATGAATTAGAATTTGCTGAAAACTTCACCAGACCTCCTTTGGTGATGTTCATCTTAGTTTCTAATTTGGGTTCACACGAAACATCAAAACCTTTTGGTTTTCTAATTCTTGGAGCAAGAAAGGTGGAGCTGAAGAGCTCAGTGTTTCACTGTTTGCTGCTTCAAGTCAATTATGGATAACCTCCTTTTATTCTGTGACAACAAAATTCCTCTCTCCACCCTCGAAAAGAAATGGCGGGCTCTCCAAGGGGTGTCTCTGAGAGCAAAATGGCAGATCTATCCACAAGAACTGCATGTGCAGTGACTCATTAAAGGTTTTTGATTTCCAGATGTATAGCAACTTTTTAAAAAATCTTTTTTTAGTTGTAGATGGACACAATATCTTTATTTTATTTTTATTTATTTTAGTATGGTGCTGAAGACCGAACCCAGTGCCTCACACATGCGAGGCAAGTGCTCTACCACTGAGCCACAACCCCAATCCTGAATAATAACTTTTGAGATAAAACACTGAATTATTTAGGAAGAAGCATCCATAAACAAATGAACTATGAAATGTTTGCATTCTTCTATGACCCAGACAATGCATGGTCTGACTCAATTTTCTTCTAAGCCATGTTAGGGAGGCCTAACTGGCAGTGCACAGAGTTGTACTGCAGCTTGTTGTGTTAGCACTTGTGGAGATGGAGTAAACAACACTATGCGCCAGACAGTGTGATTAATCCGGAGTATGGCCAATGGGCCTTCTTAGTCATAATATTTAGTTCTTCCAGGTTAAAAGAAAATATTCTGGTTCCAAAACTACAGAATAAACTACTGAAGATCAGTCACAGAAATGATTTCTGTGGTTTGAAGAAAACTTAAAAMAGAAGATAATGTTTTTATTAATACTTTAATGGTTTATAAGTAAAGGTATTTAAAGCTCTTAAAATAAGAGAAGTTGTTTCTTAGAAAACAGAAAGTGAAGGCAAAGGAAAAATTCTGTGTTTGAAGAACTTTTTGCTTTGCCTGTGTACTTAGAAGGCACAGTAGGACGTAATATTCTTTTTCTTTTCTTCCCTCCACCCCACCCCACACCCCCGCACCTCTCCCCCTCTCTCTCTCTCTCTCTCTTTCTCTCTCTTTCTTTCTTTTTTTGAGATGAGTTAGTGCTATGTTGCCCAGGGTGGTCTCAAAACTTGTGTGCTCAAGTGATCCTCCAGCCTCAGCCTCCCAAGTAGCTGGGACTATAGGTGTGTGCCACTACACCCAATGAGAAGTAACATCTTTTTCTTTTTCTTCTTCTTCTTTTTTTTTTTTTTTTTGGTACTAGGGATTTAACCCAGGGGTGCTTTACCAATAAGCTACATCTGCAGCCCTTTCTATTTTTAATTTTGAGATAACTTATCTTGCAAAGTTGCTTAGGGCCTCACTAATTTGCTAAGGCTGGCCTCAAACTTGTGCTCCTTCTGACTCAGCCTTCCGAATCAATGGGATTACAGACATGTGCCCCCATACCTGACAAGAAGTAATATTCTTGATGAATCTTTTAGATTTTAAATCTCAGATATGGTGTGTAGAGCAAGTTGTTCAATTTCTAAAGTTTTCTCCTTTTAAAAGTCAACAACAAAAACAAGCAGTTTGACAGGATTTTTGAGAGCCAAAGGCATCCTCTCAGTAAATAGTAAATCCCATCCTGGGTCCATGGCAGCTGCTGGTATAGATAAGGCTAAGTCAGGATGATCTTATTTGTTAAAATCATGATATTTTATGGACGTGATGATGCACACCTATAATCCCCAATTAAGGCAGGAGGATCACAAATTCAAAGCCAGTCTGGGCATCTTAGACCATGTATCAACATAAAAAAAGGCTGGGGCTGTAGCTCAATGGTAGAATGCTTCCCTAGCATGTGGGAGGCCCTGGGTTCAATCCCAGGTACCATGCCAAAAACAAARCAACAACAAAATCAGGCAATTTTATTGTATTGTTCATTACTTTAACTCATGATGTGGGTCATCTCAGCAACCAATATATAAAAGGACACACACTTAATAATAGTGATGCCTATGTTACTAATCACCGCTCTTTGAAAAGAACATCTTACCTGCAGCAAAGGCATCAGCTGCAAACCCAGTGCTTGCTCATAGAGCAAGTTCAGTTCTGCACAACTGGAGAAGGAGAGCTTGGAGGTGTAGAGGTAATAGTGTACATGCCTAAATGTGGAACCATCTCTGTCGATGAAAAGCCTCTGGTTTTCTGAAGAGGTCAAGGCTGAAGCCTCTTTCCACAGCAAGGAGTCTGGAAACTGAGAGAGTTTGCTTCTGGGGACTGAGAAATGCCATCCTCCCACATTGAAATGAAACAAATCTTCTGCGGATTCATGAGACATGCCAGTCTCTTCCTAAAGGAAGAATGAAAATATAGCTATGAAAGAAAAAATAAAAATAAAAAAGCATCCTGATTGGAAAGGAAGGAATTATACTATTTCTTTCTTTCTTTCTTCTTCTTTTTTTTTTTTTTTGTAGTTATAGATGGACAGCATGCCTTTCCTTTGTTTATTTTTATGTGGTGCTGAGGATTGAATCCAGTGTCTCACACATGCAAGGCAAGTGCTCTGCCACTGAGCTACAGCTACAGCCCGAATTAAACTATTTCTATTTGCTGATCTTATATATAGAAAATCCTAAGGAACTAAGTAAAAAACTATTATGAGCCTAGGAAGGTTGAAGGATATAGATCAATATTATAAAAAKTCAATTATATTTTTATACCATAGCAATGAACAATTCAAAGATTAAATTAAAAAAAAATAATTACATTACAACACCATCCATAAGAACAAAATATTTAGGAGTTTAACAAAATAAGTATAATACTGGTAACTTGAAAACATTTAAAAATTGTTGAAATTTTAAACAACCTAAATAAGTAGTCTTGTTTATGGATTCAAAGATTCAATGTTGTTAAGATAGTAATACTATCCACATTGATCTGGGCAGTATCCCTACTAAACAATCCCTATGAAAACCCCAACTATCTTTTTTGCAAATGTGACAAGCTGACATTAAATTCATGTAGAAATACAAGGGACCCAGAATAGCCAAAACAATCTTGAAAAAGAAAAAAACAAGTCTGAGGATTCCTACTTCCACTTTTAAAATTTAATATAAAGGTAGAATAACCAAAACTGTACAACCGGTATAAGAATATTCCTATAGGTATATGGAATAGAATCGGAGTCCAGAAATAAACCTTTATATTTATGTACAGTTGAATTTGTTCATCAACTGATGAATGTACTATATCCATATATCCATACAATAGACCATTGTTGTTAATACAAAGTATTATAAAATATTGATACATGTTACAATATGCATGAATCTTGAAACATTTTGCTCAGTGAAAGAAGCCAAATACAAAAGATCACATATTATATGATTCAATTTCATGCAATGTGAAGAAGAGTCAAATTTATAAAGAAGGAAAGTAGATTAGTGGTTGCCTAGGGCTGGGTAGGTTGGGGTTGGGGATGTGGGAAATGGTATGTGACTACTGTGTATGAGCACATATATGTAAGGACTCCAGATTTTGCTTTCTGTTCTTAAAGGTGACTAACTGGTTGAGAGCTCAATGAAGGTACTTAAGAGTGTGCAGAATTTGGATACTAAAAAAACTTGCTCCTTGAAGGTAAGCTCCAGTTCTGGACTCAGCTCCTCTTTTCTTATTAAGGATAGGATATGACAAGAGGGTCTTTGCCCAAGAGTTTGTTTCCTTAAACACATCCCATTCACAGCAGGGCTCCCAAGAAGTGCCCCCTAGTGCGAGGGTAGTCCGCTAAGGGTGTGATTGTTCCTTCCAGAGCATTCTTCCCCAAAGTCTGCTAAGGGGTTGGTGAGCCCTCAGTCACAGGTAAGCCTGGGGAGCCTGTGACACTTGAAAGACAAATGGATTCTTCCCAGACTGTTTGCAGGAAACCGGGCATCCTTAAAATAGTAATTCCCATACACCCCGAGGAGCATACGATCCTTCTCCCACAAAGGAGCTCTTTTTAAACCAAGTTCTAGAGCTGAAACCATCTCTCTCTAAAGACAGGACCTGAACTCCCTCAGAGCCAAGTTTCCCAACTTTCCAATTCGGGAATCTCCCCTTCTTGCCTCAGAAGTCTGTCCCTGCTCCCCCAGTCCTTCAGACCTGGACCCCCCGATTCACACCCATCAGCGCCTGGCTCCAAGAGTCAGCACTGCGGGGGCTGAAATATTAAGACCTGCACCCCTACGAAGAGGCACATTCCCATCCCCTCAGAACTAAAATCCCCCAGATCCTGAGATCTAGAACACTTCATCCCTCAAGGCAGYGCACCCTTCCAATTCCTCAGAGCTAGTTCCCCCAAAATCTTTCAAAGCCCGGACCACCCTCGAATCCCAGCGCCCCAGATCTAATCTGGGCCCCAGCTTCTCCCATTCGCCAGTTTAGTGGTTTTGGCGCCCCCGCCGGGATGAGCTCCGTACCATGGTCGCGACTCCTGGGGCGGGCGGACGGCCGCGTGACCCAGGCACTAACGGCCCCCCGGAGAGCCGCATCACGCGCGGGGGGCGGGGCCGGGAGGTGGTCGGGGCAGCTCGAGGGGCGGGGTCTGGCGTGGGCGGGGAGATCTCGCGGGCGGCGGCAGGTGAGCGGCAGGCGGGAATGGCGGAGCAGTGGGATCTGGATGAGGAGAGCATCCGCCGCCTGGGGGCGCTGACCCTGGAGCAGCCGGGTAGGGTTAGGCTGGGAGGGCGCGGGCCGGGAGCGTGTGGTCAGTGGCTGGGGGGAGAAAACTGAGGCGGGGCCCCTCGGAGCCTCGGGTAGCAAAGAGGGAACGGCCGAGGAGCAGTCCCTGARGCGCAGAGAGGGACATTGAGGCAGAAAGGGGTTTCACCGAGGCGCAAGTGGAGGAACTGAAGTAGCAGGGCAATCTGAGGCCAAGGACGAGAATTTGAGGAGAGAAAGGGAATGTGAGGTAGAGAAGAAGCGAGATTAACAGGTGGGGACCCTGTGACACAAGTGACTCACTTGGACAGAGGAAGGAAGTCTGAACTAAGTGGAAGGAAACCCCCAGAGGGACATYGATGGGAGAAGGGAAGTGCTTCTGAGATGGTCGCTTGATGTGATGATGTTGAGGTGGCACAAGGGGCATTTGTTTTTTGTTTCGTTCTTTTTTTGGGGGGTGGGGTACTGGGGATGGAACCCAGGGTGCTTTACTATTGATCTCAGCCCCAGCCCTTTTTATTTTTTATTTTGAGACAGGGCTGGCCAAGTTTCTGAGACTGGTCTTGAACTTGCTACCCTCCTGCTTCAGTCTTTGGACTGGACCACCGCGCCGAGCAAGCGGTGTTAATTTTTGGCAGTTGGGGAACTTCCTACCCAGGTTTTCCCCTGGTTGCGGGTGAAAAGAAAAAGGAACCCTCCGGTTGTCCATCCTCTAGAACTTCAAGAGTTTGCCCTTTCATCCACCTGGATGTGTAGCTCCCTTTTCAGAGACACTCAGACCAGCGCCTGGTGTGAAAGGAATAGCAGCTGATCTCTCTGGTCCTTAGGTCAGTGACCCAGCCCTGCCTTCATCTTAGTGACTAGAGACCCCACTTTTGACCTCACATAAACTGCTTTCTAAGTGTTTAAGAAAGTTGGAAAAGTTAGCATGTCTAACTCAACCGTTGCCCTCCCTAAACTCACCCTATCATTTTCTCCAGGTCCTGTGTTCAGGTCACATTTCTATCAGACAGATAGATGCTGTTACGATTCCCAACTTACAGATCAGTAAAACTAGATTTAGACTCTTACCCAAAGTCACACAGCTGGTAAAGTGGTGCAGTAGGGKTTTTTGTTTTTTTAACTCAGAGCTCTGATTCTAGAACCTGTGCTGTCACTGTAATAAAAAGTTGCCTTTCTTCCTTCCCTATTTTTCATTTGTGGAATATGAAATAACTTGGTTTTATTAATAATTTTATTTAAATATTATTTATTACTTTAAATTATAAAAATTAATGTATACTAATAACAGTCAAACATTACATGGATGGATAAAGAGGGTACTAATCTCTTTTTTAAAAAACTTAAAAAAATTTTTTTTAGTTGTAGATGGACACAATACCTTTATTTTATTTACTTATTTTTATGTGGTGCTGAGAATCGAACCCCAGTGCCTCACATATGTGAGTCAAGCACTCTGCCACTGAGCCACAATCCCAGTCCCTAATCTTTTTTTTAACAATAATTCTTTGTTTGTATTAACTTTTTTGTAGTTGTAGATAGACAACATGCTTTTATTTTATTTGTTTCATTTTTATATGGTTCGAAGGATCGAACCCTGTGCCTCACACATGCTAGGCAAGTGCTCTACCACTGAGCCACAGCCTCAATCCCCCTAATATTTTTTTAAAGTTTTTTTTTAGTTGTGGATGGACCTTTATTTTATTTATTTATATATGGTGCTACGACTCTAACCTAGTGCCTCACACATGCTAATTAAGCACTCTACAACTGAGCTACAATTCCAGCCCAAGAGGTTACTAGTCTTTTTCTCCTTTTTGTAACCTTCCCCAGAGCTGATAACCAAAGATATGTGTTTAGATTAATGTTTGTAGATATTTCAGTTATATATTATTTTCCAAACTTCTTTGAACCCCCTATTTTACAAGTCAGCTAAGAAAAACTTTATTTTAATACTCTGTGTGTGTGTGTGTGTGTGTGTGTGTGTGTGTGTGGTGCTGGGGATTGAACCCATGGCCTTGTGCATGCAAGGCAAGCACTCCATCAACCGAGCTATATCCCCAGCCCCAAAAGCCTTATTTTAAATATTTTTTTTCAGTTGTAGACAGACATAATATCTTTATTTATTTATTTATTTATTGTGGTGCTGAGGTTGGAACCCAGTGCCACACACATGCTAGGCAAGTGCTCTAACACTGAACTACAACCCCAGCCCCTAAGAAAGGCTTTATTGCCTTGAAACACTCTGTGCCTTCCCTACCYTTTTTTTTTTCCCCCTCAGATATTGATTCGTTTTGATATTTGGTCTGGGGCAAAGCCAGCCATGGTGGCACATTTTATTGGCTCAGTTACCAGGAAGGCTGAGGTATGAGGTAGGAGAGTTTGAGACCACCTTGGGCAACATAGTGAGGAGGGGGTAGTAGTGGATGGATGATATGAAGTAATGATATTGGGAGTGCCATATACACCTTCCTTTATCAGTTAAAACAGTATATGGCAGAAATTTTTTTTTGCTTGACTTTGTATTTATTTGTTTGTTTTTATTTCAAGCATTTAAATAACAAATTATTTGTATTCATTTTGACAATTCACACAATTCCAAAGTGTCTAAAGTAAAATAAAATATTCTTCTGTCTCCCTCCTTCCATACCTTTTCTATTGTTTATACAGATAGGTACTTTTAAAAAAGAAGTAATAGCATATATATCATTTCTCAATCTGCTTTTTAAACTTTTCAATAAGACACAGGTATTTATTCAATTAAATGAATGTACTAGTGTATGCATTATAAAATCATTCTTGTTTTTTTATATCTCAGTATTAAAAATTTCAATAAAGTATTTACATTGTCCTTTGTCATATAGAAAAATTTTAAGTCCGGGGTTGCAGTTGTGCTYAGCGGTAGATCACTTTGCCTAGCACATGCAGGGTCCTCAGTTCGATCCTTAACACCACATATAAATCAATAAAATAAAGGTATTTTTTCTAACTACAACTAAAAAATAAATATTTTTTAAAAATTTTTAAGTCCTTTTAAAATAAATGGTGCTTTTTGGGTCTTATTGATGAGATCTTTCCCTATACCAATATAAAAGGCTCCTTTTTCCCCCCAGTACTGAGATTAAACCCAGGGACACTTTACCATTGTGTTACATCCCCAATCCTTTTTATTGTTTATTTTGAAACAGGCTCAATAAGTTGCCAAAGCTAGTCTTGAATTTTAGATCCTCCTGTCTCAGCATCCCAAGTTGCTGGGATTACAGGCATGTGCCACTATGCCCAGCATAATCTCCTTTATCTTTTTCTAAAAATTCTGTAGTTTTGCTTTTCACATCAAATCTACTCTATTGGGAGTTTATTTTTATATATGCTGTGTGATACGGGCATAATTCTAGTTTTTCTCATGTCTTTTTTTTTTTTTTTTGTCAAACCCAAAGCCTTCTGCATAAAAGGCAAGTGCTCTACCACTGAGCTATACCTTCMGTTCAACATAAATCTTGATAACCTCCAAATTCAATGCTCTTTCTAGTTTTACCAACTTTCTTTCTTCACAATAGTCAGGGCTAATATCATCCCTTTATTCACTCATTAGAATTTTAGAATAAGCTTGTGACCCAGTCTAATACCTGTTTTAAAAATATGATTCTCAGCTATTAGAAGCCTGGTGCAATCAATAATCTAGGTAAGAGACAATGAATGGGCAATTTCAATTTAGAAGATGATAGTAGAAATAAAAAGAAATGGATGGAGACAAAGCATATTTGGGAGTCAAATGGATAATATTTATAAAAGGATTGGATGTGAGGATAAGGAAAATGTAATACTCAAAGATAACACTTAGACTTGGCTTAAGTTATTGCTAGGTGGAGGGTGGTGCCATTTATTGAAAGATAGTGTGTGGACTATGAGGGGGGAGGGTTTGAGGAAGGGGAATCAAGAGATCTCTTGAGCATTTTAAATTTAAAATGCTAATAGGTATCAAAGTGGGAGAAACTTAGTAGGCAATTGGATATAGAGTCTAGATCTCAGAACAGAGGTCAGAGATATAGATGTCAATTTTGAAGACTTAGCAAATAGTGTGTATTGGGCTAGGGTTGTGGCTCAGCGGCAGAGCACTCATCTAGCATGTGCRAGGTCCTGGGTACAATCCTCAGCAMCACATAAAAATAAATAAATAAAATAAAGGTATTGTGTCCAACTTCAACTAAAAGATTAAATATATTTTTTAAAAAACTATGGGTCTAAGTGAACACAGCTAGGGATTGTGGATGAAAAAGAGAAGAAAGGTTAAGATTATACCTTGTGAGTATTTCAATGTTTAAAGGTTAAGAGGAATGTGGTGTCTTGGAATTTAAGAAAGGGTAGTATATCATGAAAATAATGCTCAACTGTGCCAAGTACTGTGGATAGACTGAGCAGTTTAATGCAGAAAAGTCTTAGATTTGATGACATGGAACTCACTGGGGACCTTGATGAGGGGAGTTTCAGAAGAGTGGGAAGGGAAACTAGATTGGAGTGGAGTGAAAAGGGAATGATATGTGAAACAGTGGAGATAGTGAAAATGAGAACTTTTGGCTATAAAGGAGAATACAGAAGTGGAATGGTACCTGGAGGATGGGGTCAAGAACAGGTTTTAAAAACCATGCTAGGGGGCTGGGGATGTGGCTCAAGCGGTAGCGCACTTGCCTGGCATGCGTGCAGCCTWGGTTCGATCCTCAGCACCACATACAAACAAAGATGTTGTGTCCGCCAAACACTAAACAATAAATATTTAAAAAATTATCTCTCTCTCTATCTCTGTCTATCTCTCTCTCTTTAAAAAAAAAAAAAAAGAAGAAGAAGAAGAAAAAACCATGCTAGGGCATGTTTTAGGTTGATGACAATTATTTGTAGAGAGGGTAAAATATAATTATTAATTTTTTGGCTATTAAAATAATTAATTTTTGGCCTGGGTTGTAGCTCATTGGAAGAGCACTTGCCTAACATGTGTGAGACACTGGGTTGGAT